AGCGGCCTTGGTGAGCCACCGAGAATGTACAATTTTCCCTGGTTTGATGTTACACTCAGAAAAAAGTCAGCCAAATATATTCCTCTCAACACATGATTTGGTAACTATAAACAAATAACGCAACTATAACCAAATCATGTGTTGAGAAAAACATATTAAGTTGACGTTACTAAACTCTTTTCTCAGTGTAGCCAGATCCACCGGAACCACGCCGCTAGAAATTGCATGGGCCATGTCGTATAAGTACTTCGAATCGGTGGAAAATTCAATTTTTTCTGGAGCAGGGGGCATATTTTGCAACTCAATTTTCTGGAAGCCGTCCACCACCTGAAAATATATAATAATAAAATAATTAAAAATGGTTGACAATTATAATAAATGAGTGATAGCAATAACTTACCGGAAGAGTTTCACAAGTTTCGATTTGACGGCTCAGTTTTCCGGTTGCCGATCTTGGTCCAGTGCTGGTTGATTTATCCAAAGCTTCAAACAAATGCCGAAACGGAAGTTCGTTGAAGTGTAGAAGGCAAACGAACCAATGCAATGGTCTTTTTAACAGCAATTCGAATCGTCGTATAATTCCAACGTGTGGGCCAGTGTTTGTTGGCTCACCGTCAGTGCATATTCCAATTAATGCATCCAGTGATATATTTTTATCGTTGAAAAAACCATTTAATTTGGTTGTTTTGTATTCAGCGGTTTCATGTTCCAGTCTTACGTAACCAATCAATTCAGAATTGGGTTCTCTCAAAATAACAAGATGAGGTTCTTTTACCATCCTAGTATGATACTTCTCATCAATTTTATCTATCGTTAAAGTATCATCTTTTCTGCCATCGAATGAAAACGCTAACAAATTGGTATCATCTAACCGTTTGCGAAGCACTTCTTGTCTGCATTTCTCTTTTTCTCTGCGAACTTTCGATTTATCCATGATGAGAGGTTTCCCATGCTTATCTTTAATTTTAAAATCTTGCAAAAGAGCGGTTCCCAATGCTGATGCTACTCTGTCAGGCACACCAAATCTGTCACATACCAAGGCAAAGTTAAAACAATCGTATCTCTCTGTGTATTGTGAACTTGTGCTTCTATCCATATCTTCTTGAACCGGTGGCGGTGCGTATGTTGAATCATCGGGATCTTGGTATGTTGGCATTGATGACATAGACGTTGCTCCTTGCTCTTCAGTTTCCATCACAAATGCATCCATTGTTAGTCTTCTCTGATTATGTTGATCGTGCATGAACTCTTTGAGGCGTTCGGGAACCCAGCCGCATGCACATGGAGCTGCCTTCAAATCGCATTTACATGTTCCAATGTAAAAAATTGTTTCCAGAGATTTTACATACTCTGTAAATTGTTGGGTGTTGTTTCTTCTCTTGATTTGCTCTTGATACTTGTCAAGCAATTTATTCAATTTATTAAATACACCTTTTTTCAGCATTATTTCCATACCAAGTTTTTCCCAAATTCCAATCAACTTATCTTGTACTTGAATAGTGAATGATTTATGGGAAAACTTTTTTTGTTCTGTTTTAGCACGTTCGCTTAAGTAAAAATAATATCTCAAGATATCCAGATGGGTTGGTAAATTAAGATCAGTTAAATCAGTAGACACACCAAAAACAGTAACATCATGCTTGGGTATATGACTCATTGGGTTTTCGATAGTTGTTGATGTAGTTGCTTCATCTTGCGGTGTAGAGGATGGTGGATTCATTGTAAACTTTTTGATTTGGAATGGTCACTTCACTTATTATTTTTTTTGAAATATTTTTTTATCTGAAATTAGCACTTCACACTTTGAGTTCTTCACAACGACTTAATGCATTCACAAAAACTGTTGCGTTATATATGGTCTACGAGACGAGGTAATAAGAATGAAATGGTAATTTCAATTCTACCTGCTGTGTCTTGTGGTGGCTTAAAAAAAACAACACAAGCAATTTTACGATCTGCAATTGTGTCACAGTGATACCTTCATTGTTTAAAAGGGTTGCGGTGCATTCCAGTGATACCTTAATTGTTAAAATGGTTGCAAAAAACGCGCATTTCTTAAGAAGGTGCCTTAAAATACCCACAAAAAGGGTTGTAAAAACAACCTTCATTTCTTAAGTAGGTGCTATAAAAAAACTACACAAGTAAGTTTACGACATGCAGCTGTGTCTTAAAAAACGCACACAAGCAATTTTCCGATTTGCAATTGTGTCACAGTGATACCTTCATTTTTTAAAACGGTTGAATAAAAAACCCACACAACTATGTTTACGACATGCAAATGCATCACAGTGATGCCTTGGTTTTAAAAGGGTTGTAAAAACGCTAATTTCTAATAATTTTTTTTAATTTCTTTTCTATTACTAAGTTAAATTCATTTTTTCATTTACATATGTTCTGACTAAATAAATTTCTAAAGAGAAAAATAAACTCCAAAAAGAAAAAACATAGGCATTTCGCTGATTTTTTCATGTAAAGTGCAAAACCGGCGATTTTTTGAAATGTTTGTATGGTGAACCCCCAGGGGGGTTCCAGGGGGTGTGCCACTGGCATCGGTGGGTCGGGCCTCCAAAGTTAGTGGGGGTCGGTCATACATTTGGACTCGATTGGAGCACTCTAAATGGGTCAAAGTGGGATTTTTCAAAATTTGCCCCTACCCAAAAGTTCGACCCAAATTGGGGGACATCAGAATTCGTTTTAGAGGTATGGTTCCTTCGGCAAAGTTTCTTATTTTGATCCCTAGAATATGATTTTCACAGAGCAATGGGCGATTTTTTTGCCTCCCCACAAATCGACCCGGCCTAATGTGTATGTATGTAACTGAATCGCCTAATAACAGGTTTACATATAAAAAGATTATCCTTATTTTCGAGCTAACTCCCTAATCGGTAATTATAAAAAGAACTTAGCCATACAAAATTATAATTATACAATTATCTCCTATTAAACCGAAAAATTTTTTGTGTCCAACATAGTTTTATTTATTATACTTGCGAAAAAGAGAAGGAATGTCAAATGTAAAAGTAAACAATAATTGACGCTAGCAAGAAAAAGAGGTTTGTAAAGGTATTTTTAATAAAATATTAAGTTGAAATATATTTATTTATTATCATTTATTTATTTTGTTCAACAATTTTTAATGAGCTTGAGGCCGTTTTTAATGAAAAACTTATTGTGAAAAAGCAACAATAATGTGAAAAAATGGTAGAAGTGATAGCTATTTCGGAAATCACCACATTTCCTCATCAGACTTTTTTCAGTAGGCTTCGAACCGACGATCCCACTGACTCAGTCAATTGCCTATGCACTGTGCTAAACTCGCCTTGGACATTATCGTTGCTTTTTCCCACTTTTTCATTTGTTATGCCAACACAATCAAGCGCAGCTATTCCGCTGCAATTCACTTGATCATGTGGTTGTTGATTTTTGCTAATAATTCTATTTTTAGAATGTTTAACTTTTAGGCTTCGAACCGACGATCCCACTGACTCAGCCAGTTGCCTATGCACTGTGCTAAGATCGCCTTGTACATTATCGTTGCTTTTTCCACTTTTTCATTTGTTATGCCAACACAATCAAGCGCAGCTATTCCGATGCAATTCACTTGATCACGTGGTTGTTGGTTTTTGCTAATAATTCTATTTTTAGAAGGTTTAACTTTTAGGTGTGCTCGTCCTTAAGTTATTTGTTTCTGTTATTTTATGGCCTTATAACAATTATATTCAACAATTTTTAATGAGCTTGAGGCCGTTTTTAATGAAAAACTTATTGTGGAAAAGAAAAAATAATGTGAAAAAATGGTAGAACTGATAGCTATTTCGGAAATCACACATTTCCTCATCAGACTTCTTTCAGTATGCTTCGAACCGACGATCCCACTGCTAATAATTCTATTTTTAGAAGGTTTAACTTTTAGGGGTGCTCGTCCTTAAGTTATTTGTTTCTGTTATTTTATGGCCTTATAACAATTATATTCAACAATTTTTAATGAGCTTGAGGCCGTTTTTAATGAAAAACTTATTGTGGAAAAGAAAAAATAATGTGAAAAAATGGTAGAACTGATAGCTATTTCGGAAATCACACATTTCCTCATCAGACTTCTTTCAGTATGCTTCGAACCGACGATCCCACTGCTAATAATTCTATTTTTAGAATGTTTAGCTTTTAGGTGTGCTTGTCCTTAAGTTATTTGTTAAATTTGCACTTTCGCTGTAGAATGTTATGTAGTTTGACTATTGTCAATGAAATCGACTTCTACCATTTTTTCACATTATTGTTGCTTTTCCATAATAAGTTTTTCATTAAAAACGGCCTCAAACTCATTAAAAATTTTTGGATATAATTGTTATAAGGCCATCAAATAACAAAAACATTTATTTATTTTATAAATTCAATTAGTCTATGAATCAATAATTTCTTACAGACTATATAACAATAAAGCTTAAATTAGGGTATTTTATTTAAGAGGTTAGTAAAGGCTGTTTTCGGCAACGAAAAATCAAGGTCGATAGAATTGGAAATCTGATTAAATTCATTAAGAGCCCGCGCGATGGGCGCATTACGGGCATAATATGTACTCACATTGTCCGCATATAATGGGAGGGAAGCACGAAGATACCGCCGCGGAACATTAAAATTGATTATTTCCAAAAGCTGCGGACAGTCAGAAATTCCTTGGACAATGCAAAAAATAAAAGTTAAAGATAATATTGACCACCGTTTTCAAATTGATAAGCAATAAGCGCGCATTATGTGAAGGTATAGGAACTGCGAAGCGTACTGAACGTAAGGCGAATTTGAGAACACCTTCTGATTTCGTTCATTCCTATTAACCCTAGAACACACACCCAGAAAATACCACGTAAACACACACCCGGGATACGTTTGTACCCGGGACCTTATTTTGCGGTTTTTTTAATGCTTATTCAACCGATTTCTATGATTTTTTTTTCTTCTATATGCTGCACTTGATAAATATTCGTTTCTTCTTGAAGTCATTTCGTTTCCAGTTATTTATAGTTTCAGTTATATTTATTTTCACTTATATTTTCACTTCTTACACTTTTGAGCACCAAAACAATAATGAAAATATCAACAGGCAGCATTTATAACAACACCTCGTGTGAAAACAACCCTTGCAGCTGCATATAAAATACAAAAACCAGTTATACCAGTGTATTTGCTACCTACGTACCCATACCTTGCGCGACCTTTTTGCACATATCTTTTGAACCAGGTAGAATATTTCAATGAAATAAAAACCAAAATGTGTATTCGTTGTTACTCTACAAGTATATTATTATAAATTATATTATTTTGTTTTGCATTTACCAGGACAACAATAAAAACAAAAACCCACTGTTGCATGTCCTGACTTTATTTGCCCATATCGCTGGAACCAGTAGGAATATTCGAACGAAACAAAAGACAAAATACTTGTTATATATTAAAATATACATTTCA